CCGACAGAGGGACACCCACAGACACGCAGAGAGAGAGAGACCGACAGAGGGACCTCCACAGACACGCAGAGAGAGGCTGACGGACAGACAGAGGGACAGACAGACAGAGGGACAGACAGACAGAGGGACAGACAGACAGAGGGACAGACAGACAGAGGGACAGACAGACAGAGGGACAGACAGACAGAGGGACGGACAGACGAGACCCACCGATCTGCAGCCAGTTCATCTTTTCCTGCCATTTGTTATTGATCTCCGCACGTTTCTCCTGCAGCTGGTCGAGCTTCTCTTGGATCTGGAAAAGCAGCGAGGCGCAGAATCGCAGCGGGTGTGAGCCAGAAGGCACAAACAATCTCGTGTGATGTTGTAAACATCAGAGGGGGGCGACAGAAGAGAGGAGAAACGGGAAAGGCGAGGGAAGAGGGTGGGCCTGAACCAACCAATGGAAACGCTGAACGGGGAGGGCGTGGCAAAGGAACGAGCCAATGGGGGGGCGCAGTACCTCGTCGGAGGCGTAGTGGTTGTTGTCGATGAGCGCGGTGCCCGTCTCGATGCAGGTGGTGAAGCTGTCGGCGCGCGCCTCGATCTCGCTCTTGATGTCCTGGTGATTGCCGATGACCAGGTCAGCCGAGGACACGTCCCTGCGGAGGAGAGGGGGACAGCTGGCCATCAGCCCACGGGGGAACGAGAGAGTCTACTTTCGCCCCACAGTCGGAGACAAGGGTGGGGGCTCCTGGGGGTTACCTGGGGTTGTCGTGGGCGTCGATCTGCAGGTTGACCCCGTCCATCCAGAGCACGAGGTCGCGCACCATGCTGAAGAAGCGGAACTTGTCCACGGTGTCCAGCAGGGCCTGTCGGCGCTCCTCGCTGGCGGCCAGCAGGGCGGCCCAGGCCTCCGCCACCGCCTGCTCGTGCCGCTGGATGTCCTCTGCCTTCTCCCCGGCGTACGCCTTCTGGAGCCGCGCGGCGTCGTCCTGCACCTGCCGCACCTGCGGGGGGCGGGGGGGACAGCCAGACTGACGTCACCCGCTCCCTCTCCTTCTCCCCCCAGCCTCTCTCCTGTCTTTGGACATCTGCCTGTAAACTGCCTTCTTATCTCCTTCCTCTGTCCTCTAGTCCACCCGGTTCCCCCATGTCTCTGTCCTCTAGTCCACCTGGTTCCCCCATGTCTCTGTCCTCTAGTCCACCTGGTCCCCTGGCCCTCCCCGTGTTTCTGTCCTCTCGTCCACCTGGTTCTCCCGTGTCTCTGTCCTCTAGTCCACCTGGTCCCCCGGCCCTCCCCGTATTTCTGTCCTCTCGTCCACCTGGTCCCCCCGTGTCTCTGTCCTCTCGTCCACCTGGTCCCCCGACCCTTCCCGTATCCCTGTGCTCTTGTCCAGCTGGTCCCCCCTGTGTCTCTGTCCTCTCGTCCACCTGGTCCCCCCGTGTCTCTGTCCTCTCGTCCACCTGGTCCCCCACCCCTCCCCGTATACCTCCCCTCCCCATGTCTCTGTCCTCTTGTCCA